ACAACCCCCATACCCCAAGGGGGCAAGTGCCTGGAAGGCCTGAGGGGGAAATGATATGCCAGACAAGGGCTTGTTGGCACTTGATTCTAGTTTTTCATGTTTTCAGGGATGCAGTACATTAAAGAGATCCTCAGTGAGCTGCAGTGGACAGCAGTGAAAAAGGTCACGTATAATTAAGGTCAGTTCAAGTTGAGGTTTTGAAAAAAAAAAAACAGCACAAATGATGAAGTTTATATTTTCTAGAAATTAACTACAGACACATGATGCGTGCCCTTGAACACAATTCGAGCTCTCGAATGCATGACTTTCAACATTACCAAAAATCCAACACGTATAGATTTTAAGTCTAAATCAAGCTACTGATGATTGGAACTTTTGAATTCCTTCGACTTTATATGCAATAATTTGTCAAGTCCAGCGATCAATAGTGTTGTCACGAGCTGCACCACAGCAATAGGCAGCGGAGAATCTGATCATGCTGCAGTGATACACTGACAGTCAGACATTTGTAGCTGATTGTTTAAGGTAGCTTTGGATGAGACATGGTATTGTTAGGTTTATTTAAGCATGTATGAGCACACTGTGTTCAGCCAGTGGCTTGGGACTGTTTCTCTGCAACACCTGTCCAGAAAACAAACAAACCAGTATCGTGCTTCAACGAGAATGGCCACTTCTAGTCTTAAACACAATGGCATGGACACTATATGTTACCCATAACACAATGGCTGCCCATATACTTATATTTTAAAACTGTGGACATACTTCAATGCATAAAGGGAAGGAGGCTGTTTTACAGATAGTAATAGTAATTTTAAAATGAAATTAAGCATCACTACAGAAAAAAGGAAGCTCACTTTTATCCCATGACCACACAGGAGAACAACCTGATGGATGGTTTGCATGTCTGACCAAAATCTGGGAAAGGTTTTCTTGATAACGAAGCAGTAACGATGTTTGTACGAACTGCAGAGAAATGACAAAAATCCACACACTAAATTGGACAAAAAGCCACAAGTCATCCATGTGATTCCTACCAACATTTCCCCAGAGATTACACCACACATTTCTATTGTAAAGAAGCTCTGCAAAGTGTGTGTGTGTGTGTGTGTGTGCGTGAGAGAGAGAGAGAGACAGCGTGCCTGGTTGTGTGTGTCCTGTGTGCTGGCCAAGATGGGCCAAGATCGAAACGTATAAATAATAGCAATGATTTGTTGGAAACACTGAACTTTATCGATACCTCAAAAAGAGACACATTTTTCTAAGTGTAGCTGAAAGAAAATAAAGCCACAACAGTTGAAATGAGAGAGAAACATAATGATTCTAAATCTTTTTGTTGAGGGCTATTAAGATTACACAGAAAGATGAAATGCATTCATCTAAATATGTATATATTATTTTATATAAAACATGCTCTTTCCACATTTATTTTAACAACATAAAAACATCACACTTAAAAATTGTAAATTAAAAACATGCATAACACACTTCAGTGTAAGGAACATAATATTCCCACAGCTGACATGTTATATCCCTGTAAGTCCTGCTGCTTTTCAGCTGACTTTAACTCTATAATGATCGTTTTATTGGGCAAAAAGCCTTAGTACAGAATAAAAGAAGAATGAGCTTTTGCAAGGACGAACTCTGTCAAAAAGGGACCAAATCAAGTGCGCTAAATTTATGTGAGGGGTAAACAAAAAACATTTCCATAACAAAACCAGGCTTCGACCTGCAACAGAATCCGCATTTTGCTCCTGGGAGACCCAGACAGGCGCTGAGGGACAAAAGACACTAATGCTAAATAAAATAAAACCTCAAATTTACTGGCTTGTATTTATTGTTTTTTTAAATGACGGAAAATATAAAGCTGCATGATTTACTTCTGTAGCTCTACAATTAGGAATTTCACGGCTCTGGGAGAGAACGTGAAGTATTTTCCAACTTCACAGATTGGGTGCGTGCACGCCTGTGCGTGCGTTTTAGTGTGCGCGCATACAAATACAACATCATCCTTAAAAGACGCTTTTAATACCACCGCTCAAATATTTGACATAGGTTAAAAGAAAGTATTAAATCAGTTCTATTTTGAAACAGGCCTTTCAAAAAGGCCTCCAGCATATAATATAAATGCTGTAAATGTAAAATGTTGTGAATTATTACACGCATTACTGACATTACTCTTAAGTCATTCATAAATAAACAATATCGTGACGCACGCTGGAGGAGCGCAGGCTAACAGATGTTTTTGGAATAAAAGGAAACACTTCATAATAGAGAATCGTGCACTTCTCTGTCGATAGACATGAGACTTTAAAGCTTCTAACTTTCATAAAGGATTTATCACAAATTGTCGCCTCTATGTCAAAGTAATTAATCTTACCAGCAGCCTGACAATCATCCAAAATAATCCAAAAGACTTCATTTATGATACAAGTTCTATAAAAAGAGTTAAAACGCACTTGGACCAAAAAGGAGTAAATAAACAACAGAGTGCAGAGCTGTGAAGGGAAGTTGTCTGTTTGAAAGAAGACCTCAGCTGATCGAAAGCACTCACCGTGCTCGGAAATAACCCCGGCTAGTGCGGGATCCTCGTCCGACTTGAGGTGCTGCGGCTTGGCTTGCTTGCGTCGGGACATGCTGCTGGCGTCGGTGCTGGCGATGCTGCTGCTTTTGCGCTCCGAGATGTCTCTGCGTTTTGCAGATACATCAGCGAAGAGCGAATGAACCAACACACAAAAAGTTCGCAAATAGTCTGGTAGCGGAGAGAGGGGGGAAATGTGACATTAACCGGCGTCGCTCCTGCCGCTGCTGTTGCTAAACGTTGGATTGCGCATGTCGCAATAATAATTATGATTTTGAATAATGCTTCGCGATTAATGGCACAGTGTGAAGGTGGTGAGGATTGGCTGGAGTCCAGCGGACGCGCATTGAATATGGTAATGAGGGACGGACTAAGCAATTAGCCGCTTCTCTCTCAGACTTTATCCGTCTCTTTTCTCTTCACTATCCAGCCTCCCCCAACAACACAACACACCAAATCTGTTGTTATGCCCAGCTCACGGGGGGGTCTTCAGCAGGGAACGTCAGACTCTTCCCCCCCCTCCTTTCACGAAGCGCACTGACTCACAAGTGCTGAGGATTCATTGCTGCGTTTCTTCACGACGTATCTCTAATCTTCAACACTCTGACCTTTATGATCCCACTTTTACCCCAGAACTTCATAAAGCCTGTCTCGAGGTCTAAGCCCAGTGCTCACACTTTCTCTCTCGGTAACTTTTTTATATGTGTGCGCCGAGAGTGTACACGCACCTCCTCGACTTGGACTCAAATGAAGCGATATTTAGACTCTCTGAGATGTTTCGGGGCTTTAAAGTTTTCTCTTGGTGGACATCTTTCCGGTAAAGTAGCTGTAGTTTGACTACACGGACATCGATAACCAGAAAGTGGACGGGACGAGTAAAGTTCTTGACAATAGCAATGAATTGTCACCAAGGTTTTTTCTTTATGGCGCAGCTCCGTTCAACAAACTTTGACGCGCGTCTTTCGAGAAAACGGGGCCACAGTTAATCCTCCTCTCAGCAACGACATGAATGTCAGTGTGATCAAGAAACTAATGTGTCCCCCCAAAAGAGAAGACGCTTCAGTGTTTCTAGTCACGGTGAAGCTCCTTTCATCCTCGCTCTTTCGCCGTGTTCTAGCTCCTGGTTGAGCCTTCGCCTCGGTGCGCTCTCAAAAAGTGGCTTTTTCTGAAAATGCGGTAACCAAACAAACAAACACCGCTTGTTCTCCAAACGAAAACTTCAGTCTTTCCTTTACACTGCTTGCGGGTGCGTATGGAAGCCAACTTTGAAGTTATCTTCGGGCAGCCCACGGAAGCGTCGGTCTCTCGGTGTTGGGCATGGCTCCATGTGTGTGGGGGACTGCGCTGTGTGTGAGAGTTAACCCCCAAGCAGAGGTTCAGCCCATTGCTTTCAGCCACCACTAGGATGTACCACCACGTTACTCTTCAGTGGATCGTGCTCAGACTCCAGTGTGAACACCCAGATTTGACCTCCCATAATGTCTCCCAACTCCCACCAGTCGCCGTCTGTAAGGAATAGGTTGTCATATTAGTCTGACGGACTAGTATTTTTTATGAGAGCTGCGTGGTTCTATGATAGGCTCTCCGCCACAACTTGCAGCCTTTACTTTAACTTTATTTCTAGTTTATGGACGTTACACACGGTGGCAACTGCTGTAAATGTGTAAATGCAGCTTGTCTTGTTTTATTTATATCGCCCTGTAACAGTGTATGGCCTCTTGAAAGCATGATACAGATGTTGTAGCATTTTAAATACTTTGCTAAAAAGGTTAAAACAAAACGTTGAGCTTCGGTGCCAGTGTTAGTGAGCAAACACATTAACCATGAACTTTGCAAATTGTTATTTGCATTAAAATGTCGGACTGCATGAGGTCACAGTATGGTGGGAAATAGGATTGAACGGATTAGGATGTGCTGGGCTAAGTGGCATGTAAATACGAGGGGGGAAGCGTGCGTCAGTTTAATGGAATAAAGCTAATTTATAAACATCGACTTCAAGTTATTTTATTTTGATATCTTATTATTTTTCCTATCGCAAACACCATCATAATGCATTTTCAAATAGCAGTTATTGGTTTTAGTATATGGTTAATAAGAAAGATAAATCTTCATATCACAATCATGTGTTTTTTTCAGTGCGTAATACCGGATTTCTAAATAAACTAGAAACGATTTCACTGTAACGATGGCTCGTAAGCTTTTTTTCATTTAGGGGGTGCTCAGTTAGAGCTCCCCCTCCCCTTCCCTCTCCCTCTTGTCTGGTTGACCTGTCTATTCCCCTGTGTCCACCTCATACCAGAGACAAATCTGTTGACAACAAGGTCGTCCAGTGAGCAAACTTTCTTTCTTTCTTCTTCTTCTTTTTCTCCTCCTCCTTCCATCATCCCCTTAGAACTTATGTCCAAAAGGCTATTATTATCTGGTATTAATAGATGCAGCCCCAGGAAGACAAAATCAGCTATTGATAATTGCAAAGAGTATAGGGTAGCTACTGTATCGATCGGCGTGTCCTCCACTCCCCTGGTACTGAGAGATAAGGAGACAGTGTTCAGAGCAATATAATTTCTTTTGACCTATCTGTTTGCTACAGACTTATGATGAATAGCCAGAGTGGCTGAAGTCCTTTATCACCAAAGTTACCTCCTTGATATAATATTGATTCTTTATAACTAGCTCGCCACACAAAAATCAAACTGTCCACTTGGCCATCATCATCATCATTATCATCACAAAGGCGGAGGAATGAAGATCCCTGCGCCTCGAAAAGCGAGCCCTTACAATCTCCTCTGTAGGCCTAAGCTTTATTTTGCTGATGATGAAAGGAGAGGGGAAACGAGGCAAGGTGCCATTTAAGACGAGGTGCCATTTAATCCGGTATGCACCACACACACACACACACACACACACACAGAGAGAGAGAGAGAGAGAGAGAGAGAGAGAGAGAGAGAGAGAGAGATCCAGTATGATCAGGATTGCCAAACAGCTTGGGATTCTGGGAGAGTAATTAATTTGGTGTGAATTTTGTTTGTTTGACGCAGGCCTACATACAAACCTCATCATTTCTATAACTGACAAAAAACCGAATTAATATGAAAAAGCTACATGCCATTTTAATAGTCATCTTGGCGACAGTGGAAAAGTAAACGTGCACGTTTGTTTTATGATACATCACAGACCGGATGCGCCTCTGAGTTATCCTTTAACCCTAAAGTACGGGCTGTTTCGTTACAGAGCTGGAGTCCCGTAGAGGCTATTACAACGAGGCCACTCACCGACAGAGGGGAAAGCACTGCTGGTGGAAGAGGCGGGGGGAGGAAGCGGGATGGAGGGAGGAAGCAGAGAGGGTGGGAGAGGAGGGAGAGGAGAAACGTGTAATCACCCAAACAACCATTTTTACCCATTTCACCCCCTCTGTGTCGCAAGGTAAGAAAAAGGCTACATGGCTTCAATTCTAGCCCTCTCTGCACCATAAACCGCTTCGGCTTGACTTCTGTAAGAGCCCCTCTCCTCTTCTCTCCCACTCTGCAGTGGCCATGAGGTTATCTGTCTTTCAGTGCGGATATGGTGAAGTGAGGGCGGACCGTGGGGAAGACACCAAGAGGTAAATGACGCTTTCAGTTTGAATTTATTATTTGTTTGCCCTGTGCGTCACTGTAAAAGAAAAATAATATGATAGTCTTAAAGTCATCTCTTAGATATCTTTAAATGGGAGAATCTAAGAACATGATCTTTTATATTTGTCGTTTAAATTGAAAAGCATGTGATTAGACCGCCGAAGTGGCATAATGTGTCCAATACGTCAATGTCCAGTCAGACGACTTTGCGCCGCAACTGGTGCCAAGACGCATTTATAGCACACTGCAGGCTATTGTAGCAGTCTAGGGCAGCCTATGGCACACTGCTGAGGATGTGATCTGCACCAATCAGAGACAAGAAGTAACTTTTTCCTGCTATTGGAAGATTGTAGAAGTGACGATACTGTAGACCACGATGTTCCTAAAACATTCCTGTAAGGACACATAGTAAGATACCAGTACTCAGTACTGGGTTTATATTGGACTTAGTAACGCTTTATGCATTGTTTTATCTCCTGTCTATCTTTAGAATATTCCACACTTACATTCTGTGTCTCTATTGCAGTGCTACAATTTGAATTTAACGAAGCTTTGCAGTTATTTTAATATTTATGTAATTTTCAGTTTCAAATGTTGTTGTAATCCATCAATATGATAATCCTGTAATAGTTCTTTATATTCTTTTTTGTCCTAATTTTAGATTAAACTTCTTCTAAATATTATTTTTGTAAAGATTATAGCAGGAGTAAAGTGCTGGTAAGGTTGAAATGTAACTTTTAACTGATCACTGATTATTCTGTGGCAGTCTATTATTATAATATTACTATATTACTACTGTAATGATTAGGGCTTTGATATAAGAAGGCATTCTTTTATAATGTAAAATCTGATTATTAGGGTTGTTTTTCTGATGATGATGGCAGCATATGCTACTATTTGTGTCTTAGGATCTGTTGGTAAAACCATTCAGGAGGAAGCCACTCAAGTGTTTTTAGACACTGAGCAGAGCTACAGCAGCTGCTCGATTGGATGGCATGATATACAGTAAGAGTGGCGTTTCTTTCGGGACATGCTTTCCAGCTTTGCTCTGTATCACGCATCCATTAGCTGGATATGTAAAACACACACAGACACACATGCATGGACTATCTGACACATAATTGTGGACATCATGTATAAGTAATGACTATTGTAGCTGGGATTCTACTAAGTGGCAACTGGCTGGAGTCCTGCTCTGAAACTGGAGTGTTTTACTCTCCCATGTATTCCAGAGCCAGAGATTAGGAGACATTTGGATCTGTCTGATTAGTGAACTGTTTTACATCAGACATTTGTGAACTCAACCATACATTTTCAGTTATCATATCATGACCCGCTTATCTTGGTTCAAATGAGGCACTCCGAGATAAAATGTGACAGACGAGTCGTACCTGAGATGAGTAAAATTTGATCTGGCTGGTTCAATGAGGCTTAATTGAAATGAATTGAATCAGCCCATTTCTTCTGTTACTGTAATTAAATTAGTAACTGGGGTGTAATTGGACATCGAGCTGGCACTCGAGAGGAGATGACAAAATGCTCATTGCTGCTACCAAAGGACTATGTGTCAAATTCAGTGTGAAAGGCAATGCACCAAATGCCAGCTGACACATTGACAAGGCTGGCTCTTTGCTAGAAGTGTCTACAAACAAAACACACTCAGAGTATCTGTGAGACTGAAACACTGTTTCACAGATTTTTAAACATGTGATTAAAGCAAACCTGTATACCTGTAAGTGTATGTATTGTATATACAGTGCATATTATACTCCAATTACTGATTTTATTGTCCTGATTGTGCTGGGACCCTAAACACCTAAGTGAATACCAAAATACTGACATTATTTTACTGTTAGTTGTTCTTAAATAAAGGCTGAAAAGCTCGGGTTTAACCAATAAAACACAGTTTAAACATTTGAAGTCAGAAATGAATAACACTATCACCTCATGTGTAATATTTACTAAAACCCCAGTATTTGCATACCAATATACTGCCCTAAACCTCCCCATTAAGAACATTATTACATATTTAATGCTTGAATTGGAGGCCCTGTACCAAATTCTTCACATACCAACTTGGACCATGCACCACACAGGAAGGGAAGAGGTTTTATAGCTCCATGGCCTCGGTCATCTGTGGCTCTAAAGCCATTTCTAAGAACAATGAGCAGAAAGGGGCTAAAGCCACACTGATGACACTTAATCTCATTGGAATTCCTTGTCAAGTTTGACCTTGGAAAGATATTAGCCACTCGAGAAGTGACTGTGGGTGCCCATGTGTGCATACAATGGGAGGGATGCCTGTGAGTCTCTGGCTGCAGTTCGGTGACATTAAGTTCTTATTTGAGTGTATATGTATGCCGCTGTATTTTATTATACATCCTAGAAGCAACAACAGGCTTAAGAGCAATGTGATCTACTCTGCTTGTGTAACTGTGGGGTACAGAGCCCTTGCTGTATTTGCATGGAAGTGTAGCACTCCTGATGTGTTGCCGGAGAGGAGATTGGAGAGAGAGTGTGACTATGCACTTACATGAGAGCAGCCAGACCAGTGGGCTGCAGGGATGTGTGGCCCAGTGATACGTGTGCCACATTGTCTGTTCAATACAGGCCTTTGAATTTTTAAACAGCATCGGTTACTCCATACTGCCATTGTTTTGGCACCATTTGCCTTGCTTAATCCTAGTAACTGCATATCTACACTGTCTTGCTGACAGTGTAGAGGTGTGTGTGTGTGTGTGTGTGTGTGTGTGTGTGTGTGTCAGGAGAGGGGACATGGAGAGACTGTACATGTTGCATCATGATTCAAAGCCTTTGAATGTTAGCAAAACGGAAAATGTATGTTACAGTAAGCAGCCACCACTGCATGTTCTTTGTAGTGATTAGTTTGCCATTAGAAGTGTGAGTGTGTGTGCAAGCACGGTGGCATAATTGCACGTCTGTGTGAGTGTGCTTGACAAGAAGGCAGGAAACAAAAGATGAAGAGAATAATGTTCAGTTTTCACAAGGTTCGACACATCTTTAAATCCAGCCAACTCTCAACAAATACAGCATCCCCTGCTAAAGCCAGAAATGTGTGTTCTGCATTTTACTCCTCACATAAGTGCTTTCTTTCAGTCCATGATATCTTCTATAGTATCAGTTAGATCTTGTTGTTCCCTCTGTAAGAGTGCATACAATCCAGACAAGGTTAGGTCAATTGAAAAAGGCCTACTAGCTTTAAGAGCAGCAATTTGAGTTAAACCGATACCTGTTGTGAAGAGGTAGCATTGAATCTGATGTCAAGTAAAAACAATATTGTTTCTTTTACATTAAACTATGGAGGCAAAGTCTGACTGTTCTTGAGGAATCAGTAGTGGAATGTTTATTCATGATTATGCTTTTTATGCCTGAACTGACTCTTTTTGACTCAAAAAGGAAAATAAAAAGGAAGAAAATGTTTTGAAATGTTTGAGTGAGACAAGAAACTAATAGAATTTGAACTTTATAAATAAAAAAGTAAAAGCTTTTTTTTTAAAGGACCATCTGAAGCTTTGCATATTCTTAAACAACCTGCGTGCAATATGACCTAAACTACAGAAAGTGCTCTCCAGGTTGAATTCTGTGTGCCTGAGTGTGAAGGAATTTCTGGGATAAAGTAAGCTATTGTCAGAAATTTTGCTTATATGATTGAACAAAGTATTTGAAGATGTGGAAATGGAGGTCTTGATTGCTGTGAGGGAGAGCTAGCTTTGGCTATACACAATTTTACGGCCCTTCATTTACAGTACTGGTTGCACTGGTATGTCTGCAGTCCTTAATCCTTTCCCTTTCTGTCGTTGTCTCCAGGGAGAAAGAAACCCATCTCAGTATAGTTTCTATGCTCTCCTCTCTTTGTCCCTATTCTGACTTATTTATGGTAACCCTCTAATGAGCTATATGGTCTTTTGTAGTGAGAGACAGCATGTGTAAACATTTTGATTTTTTTTCCCTTCAAGTGCATGGCAAGATCAGCTAAATTAAAAGGCACAAAGTGAAATGAAGTAACAGCGTAACCGAACACCTGATCAAATACAAGGTTACCCATGCTTTTTTGGGGGGTTTGTTAATGCCCTATGTTGCTATCAGTCTGCCGTGCATTTTGGAGGACTGCCAGCTAATGGAGGAAGAGCAACTATTTTGTGGAGAGGTAATTGCTACACAGTAGCCTCTGATTGCCCGGATCTTTCACTGGGAACTGCTCCGGCTCCCTTTTCACTCACACCGACAGCCTGATTACAAATCATCTTATTGATTTGATGAGTGCAAGATGCTTGCTAATAACTGTTCTCATACCATCTGCTAATCTTTGTTGTGATTAAAGAGGTAATCCCAGTACCCATTATTCCCAGTGACAAGAGCAGGGATCGTTCTCTTACACAAGCTTTAGCCCCTCACAGGCCAGGCAGGGCTGTGAAAGTTGGTTTGGGGCAGCTCAAGGGGATGCAACACCAAAGATATCAATGATCTCCGAATACAACTGAGAAATCTGCTCTACCTTCTACATAACAAACATGGTACAAAAAAAAAAGAAATACATCCCACACTAAAAATCTATTACCTTGAATAATCACATAAAATGATTTTCCTAAATATGATAATAAATCACAGGCTGGATCAATAGCCTGCAGACCAACTGCTACACCCTGATAACGTATCAATCAATATTTAGTATTTAGATTTTAATTAATACCTCAGCAGGGCTTGGTGCCTGTTAACACAGAGAAATATAATCAGTGATAAAATGGGCCAAAATAAAAAACGCTGTCCTGTTGCCACTCCACAGTTGTTCATCATATGTCAGTGATGAGCCACTTGCTGTGATTAAGGAGCCCTGGGAATCAGGCTTCATGTGTGTATGTGTGTGTTTGTACATTGCATGGGGAAGGTATGGATGTGTGTGCTTACATGGCAATATACGTACTGATCAAGCAGTGTAGGGATGAGCTAAGCTTTGGTAGCACCTGCTGCAAACTGTGCATAGACCAGTGACTAATATCATGTGTACAAGTAAAAAATATTATTAATAACAAAGAAAACTCATATTGATCTTCTAGGGCCTTTTGGGATATGTCAATGATTTTCTAACCACTGTGAGCAATAGTACTCTACTTGCAATTCGTCTTAAATGCAGTAGTCCTAAACTTCATGCTGCATGGTGAGAGGCTTCTTGCACGGTTGCTTGGTTTTATATCTGATTCCTTGAAATACTCTGTAGCAAACAGTAAAGACTTGCGACCATTATGCAACTCTGACAGAATCATTTAAGCAAATAATTTCAGAGTGACGCATTTAAGTCATTGCATCCTGGAATATGCACGTGATGGCCCCGCTGTAATCTTTTCTAAAGGTTTAATGTGTTAACACGGGACCGCCAACTGTTTTTCAATTGGATTGACTCTCATGGCATTTCTAATTAGAATCCTTTTGCTTTATAAAGAGATTAAAATAGATAAATATAGAAACCAAACAGGCAGAGTTTGACCATCGGGATCTACATAGTTAACAGGAGATTAATAAGACACGTTGATAAACAGGATTTTGTGTTAATCCACCTTTGAACTAGCGTGGTTGACCTGTAATCTGATGACCTGCAGCTTTCCACACCATATGAAAAATAAAACTGACTACCTTATTGTATCAGTGTGCAAGGTATTTTATTATGTTGTAACAGTCATAAAGTGTAAGAAAAATGAAATTAAGCTGTTAAAGTTCCACTTGATATGAACCCCCATTCCACACTACTGCTTATGTGTCTTCTAGTATTATGTAACACCGTACACACTTTGAGAGGTGAATGAAGGGCTGTTCAGGGTTTTGGCTGAAGTCCATGTTGGGTCCCTGGTCTCTGGAAAGTCAAACTTTGATGTGAGCTAACAGGACATGTGCATGTTGCTCAGCGTTACGGCTGGATTTAAGTGTCTCAAGGCTGTCTGCTGTCTAAAACAGGTCAACAGGATATTAGGCCAAAGCAAGTGCTGGCCTGA